CAAACGGCCGGCGACACCCATCTTTTTCCCAACTGAGCCGGAAATCGAGCAGAGGCCTAAAAGCTCGGCCGAGATCTGCTGATACGGCGTCTTCTAATCCGATTTGAGCGGTTCTTCAAATCCGCAAGGATGCGCGATCACAACAGATGGATTCAATTAGCCCGGATAATTCAACTTTCCTGCGGTTATTGACAATCTGACCACAGATGCATCAATACCGGAGCGGAAAAGAAGAAGCTTCGTCCCAGCAGAGACAGAGCTTCCACGGAAATGAAGGCTTATATCTATCTTTTACAGACGACATTCATCCTCTGTGTGATGCAAATCCTTTTTTTTTTTATTATTTGCCCGGTTCTGTTAAGAGTTGGAACACTTGCTCGCCTTGTTTGCTATCTTTCCGTGTGTTAATCCCCGTCAGAACCGGCTCCTTTTCCTATCTCCGAACCTCTCGGGTGTGAAATAGCTCCAGGCCGGGCCCTCCTTTCTCACACTGGATCCACCCGCTGCTGTCCTTCCTGTTTCCCTTTTAATATCTCAGCTCTAACAAGCTAAGCTTAGATAGCAGAGCTCAAATATGTCGCTGGATTACTGGACTTTCACTGTTTAAAGGAGACATATTATACTCTATTTCAACAAGTTAAACTAGTTCCCTGGTGTCCTAATGTAATGTCTGTGACAAGCTTTGGTCAAAATCCCATAAGGATGAAGGCCAATAGCAGTTCAGTCCCCCTGCCTAACCCTAACCCTAACCCTAACCCTAACCCAAAACAGCCCCGTTCAGAGCGCTCGCTTTGGAGTGCCTGTCTCTTTAAATGCAAATGAGACACAGCCAATCCACCCACTTCTTCAGGGAGGTGTGCCCACGTCGGCACGCTAACGCTACCACGCTAACGCTACCACGCTAACGCTACCATGCTAACGCTACCATGCTAACGCTCACGCTACCACGACGTCTCCACAGATAGGGGGAGTAAGCTGAGGGGGGGGGGGGAACAATGCGGGGGAAGGCTGGAATATTATAATGAGTTTTTTTTTTTTTTTTTTTTAACTACCCACTCCTGAAACCTCCTGATTTATCTCCTGGATTCAGACTGAGGCGGCCCACAAAAACATGACCCAGTCATTTTTTTTCACACTTTGCCTGCTGATAGGCCCTCCACAGTCCCAAATGTACACAATCAAACGGTTAAAAACTTGGTTTTGGATAATACGTCCCTTTTAAATAAGCGCCACACTCACCACGAGGGCGTGAACTCCACGTGGGCGTCGAAAAACCCCGTCACCTCGGCGGTGGCCGCCTTCCAGCCCTCGATCCGGGCCCGGATCAGTCCCTCTCGTTTCTGGTTCCTCACGATCTTCACCAACCCAGGGTAGCGCTTGTTCACGTACTCGTCTAAGGGCGCTTTCAGCTGCTCTGTAGTCCACCAGAGAGGGACAACAAAAGGGAACATTATCCAGGTTTTAAGGTGGAATCATGACCTCTGACCTTTAAACCCTTTCATGCATGAATTCATGCATGTTTTTTGAAGGATTTTTCTAGGTGTCCACTCCAGTGGACAGCACTCGTTTTGAGATTTTCCCCTCATCCTGTTCTAATATTCACCACTATCTCACAGTCCTGCTCGTTCAACCCTTTGGGTTTATTTTAGTCCATCTCAGCTCCTCTCTAACGGGATTTCACTGAGCATGTTTTTTCATTTTCCCTGCATGATGCACGGTGTCCGCTTCATTGGTCTGTGAGCACTGAAAACACGAAAACCCATAAATACACAGGGAAACGGCTTCTAAATAGCTGTCCACTGTAGTGAGCGGCATGCCCGAAAGGGTTAAATATACGTGACTAAAAGAAAAGAGAAAAGTCTGTGTGGAGCTCTGTTAAGGATCACATTCAGTAAAAGAAAAACAAAAAAACAAAAATGCTCTTAAAGCCTGAAACTGTAAAGATTTAGAAAATGCTACAAAGGTCATTAAAGTAGCCGGTTAGCTTACTCGTTGCTCTGACTCCATTTGACTTATCCTGACCCACAGCAAAAAACAAACAAACATAATTTGTTCACGTAATTAAATAAGACCCGTAATCTCCAGGCCGCTGCAAATGTTTGCAGTAACAAGACAGAAAGAAAAGGAGGGAGAAGGGACCAAAACAAACGAGTCCCACAGATAATGAAGCCACGAAGCCAAAGCGGGCCGTCATTAAGCACAAACAAACGCATCCAAACTGTTGACCTGTTCTGCACACACACACACACACACACAC